TGCGGAGCTGGCTCTCATTGGTGCTCTCTACTCCCTTCCATTCTTTAGGATGCCTTCAAGGAAGAACAGGGGGGGCCCTAAAGGAAAGGGTCCCACGGAGAAGACTGGTCACAAGCGCCCTCTGCGCCAGGATGGGTCGTCATCGGAGGAAGATGGGGTGTCTATGGAAGATTTGGAGGCCCTTCTTCAGCGTGTTAACCAAATAGAACAAAATAGGGGGGTTGGTTTGGGTGGGGCTGGTTCAGGCCCCACTCGAAGGGCAAGTAAGAAGCAGTTGTTTAAGTCGCTGTTGTCCCGGGTTTCTATTATAGAGTCGACCTCAGCTGTGGGGACGGAGAGGGCGGTCCGGCTTCCTGAACAACCGGCGGCGGTCCGGCTTCCTGAACAATCGGCGGTTCCGGGGGCTGCGGAGGGCTCTGCTGGGGTGTCTGCGGCTGTGCAATCCATCACCAGCCCTGAAGCACTTCCGTTTGTGCAGGCTTCGTTTGGCTCTTCGGCGTCCGCTGTGGCCGGACCCAGTCAGCCCGCGGCAGTGGCCTCCACGGCCAGTGCTGTGGCCGGGTCCACCCAGTTGGTGGGGTCGACTGTTGCTGCCGTCGATGTAGCAGGGCGTGAGCAGTTGGTGACGGCTGTCCCAGCAGGTACTTCCACCACACTCACATCATTGGGCACTTCCACCGCACTCACATGGCCCTGGGATCAGGGGCGGGCTCAGCCTGTGGTAGGGGTGCAGTCTTCTGCAGCAGTTGGGGTTCAGTCTGCGGGTGGGTCAGAACCCGGCATAGGTGATAAGAAGGATGATGCTGCTGCTCAGTCGGCCAAACCAGCTACGGTCACCTTGGAATCGGCACGAACTGGGGAGGCAAGCAAATTTTGGGGCACAGCAAAATGGCCACCACAGGCGACGCCTACTGTTAGCCTTTCAGGTTTAGATTCCCATTTGGCGACCAAAACAATGGAGAAGATTTTGAGAAATGAGTATATCGATATCTTTTCCTTATACTTTCGGGATCTGAATAAGAAGGAGAAGGATGAGTTAGATGAGGACAGTAAGGAGAAAATTAAGACACGCAAGGTTGAGCAGAATTGGGAGAACTGGCTCCCTTGTTTTACGATGTACGCAAATCTGCTTTCTGATGCTGCCCCGGAAAGGGCTACAGCTTTGTGGCAGTATCAGAATATTATTAACAAGGCTTATGTTAGCGGCCCTCCTAACGCTTGGCTAGAGTATGATAGGCGTTTTAGAACTGAAGCGGCTTGCCACCCAGAAAAACGTTGGGACTTGATCGATGATCAAATTTGGATTGAAGTGATGAATCCATCTAGGGCTTCCTCTGCCTTGAAGGCGGACAGTGGGCACACTATTCAAAACGCAGAGGGACAGCCCTCTCGGCAGGGGGCTCCCCAGCTGCAGTCCCAGGGCCAAAAGCCTTTATGCTGGGAATTTGTGGCTCAGGGAGCCTGTTCACGGAAGGACTGTCGATACTCGCACTTGTGCTCTATTTGTTATGGGTCCCATCCATCCCGAAATTGCCCCAAGGGGAGGGCCGCGAGAGGTAATAATAAGGGCACCCAATTCGTTAAGAAGCCTTCAGGTCAGGCCGCAGTTTCACAAGGGCCTCAGCCCAATTAAGTTAAATCTGTGAAGGTTTGGCTGGATCAGTACCCAGAAGGGGGCAGTTTTAGTACCTATGGGAAGGTTTTTCAGTGGGTTTGCATATTCATATGTTGGGTCCCCAGTTTCCCACATTATCCTCTAATTGGAGATCCATGTAATCGGATGTGATCCCTGAATCAATGGGCAGGGGGAAAATAGGACACTTACTGGCGATAGGCTCGCCCGGCGTTTGTTTGTTTGTTGTTTATTTTGCAGGGACTGCCAGGCTGGTGCATAGATGGAGAATCCTTGTTGTGGGCATAATTATGTCCGCTGGGCGGAGATATACGCCGGGAACTCGTCCTTTGGCCAGCGTCTGGGTGCGCTTCCACTGCATTGGTCGAGTGGAAGGGTGTTCGGGGCCTTCGTTGGGCCGGTGCTCCTTATCGGAGGTAATGATCTGGGCCTGCTTAGCGGCAGGGCCCTGTATCTACAAGCCCGTGCCGACATTTTTGAGATCTGGCAGGCATGGTCCCGGGTTCACATCGCTTGGTCGGCCATCATTCCACGCCTTCGGTGGCCAGGAGGCGGTGACGTCAGGAAGCTCGAGAAGGCCAGAAAGCGTGTGAACCGGGCCATGCGCACGGCTTTAGCACGGGGCAGAGGGTCTTACATTCCACATAAGGACATCACGCATGACAAAACACAGTTTTACCGTTCTGATGGTGTTCATTTAACAGATTTGGGCAACGCACAATTTTTAGCTGACTTGCAGTTGGGCGTTCAGGAAGTTTTAAGGGGCTTGGTGGGGGATGGGGGCGAAATAGACATTTGCCCCCAATCCGTGGCATAAATAGTTCAGGAAAACACTGACATGGAGGTATACACATGGCACCCATTAAGGGTGGGGGGCACCGTACAACAAACACTCACCTAGAACTCAACAAATAGGTGAGGGGACATCAATTGGCCCAGTAAAGAGAGAAGCTGATTTAAATAATCGGACACAGGCTTCTCCAGATTTTACCTTCAGGTTGCCCGGTTGGGGATCCAGGGCACACAGACATCACACACTAAGTAGCTGGGGACGCTGCCTCAGCTTGCCACCAAGTTCCTTGACACTTAGTTTAGTTCAGGTAAAGTTAAATAGGTAACATTCAATAAAAGTTGCCCAATTTGAATCCATACATTTGTTGTCTGTCTCGTTATTTCAGGGGTGAAGGGGCAAATATCAAACGCCTCCATACGCCTTCGTATCTTAGTCCGGCGTACAAATACATACAACGAGGAAGTTAGGTGGATCTCCCAAGAGATGACATACATTTGTTGTCTGTCTCGTTATTTCAGGGGTGAAGGGGCAAATATCAAACGCCTCCATACGCCTTCGTATCTTAGTCCGGCGTACAAATACATACAACGAGGAAGTTAGGTGGATCTCCCAAGAGATGACATCTCACAGAGAAGAGCCTCCAAGGATGACCTTGGATGTTGGGAGTTATGGTTTGTCCACATCTAGAGAGAACTCTGAAGACAACCAACCCTGAATCTGGACCAAACTTGGCACACGGACCCAACATGGCCAACTTTGGATTGGAGAGTATTGACTGTGGATGTTGGGAGTTGTAATTCACCCGCATCTAGAGAACACTCTGAAAACAAGCAACCATGAATCTGGACCAAACTTGGCACACAAACCCAACATGGCCAATTGAATATTGGCGTAGTTTGGAGATAACTGACCTTTGATGTTGGGAGTTGTAGTTCACCTGCATTCCAAGAGCACAGTGAACACAACCAACCATGAATCTGGTCCAAATTTGGCACACAGACCCAACATGGCCAACTTTGAATATTGGCAGGGTTTGGAGGAAATTGACCTTGGATGTTGAAAGTTGTAGTTTACTAGAGAACACAACCATGAATCTGGACCAAACATGGCACACAGACCCAAGACGACCAACTTTGAATACTTCGCAGGGTTTGGAGAGAATTGACCTTGGATTCTGGGAGTTGTAGTTCACCTGCAGCCAAGAGCACCATGAAGACAACCAACCATGAACCTTGACCAGACCTGGCACAAAGACCCAACACGTCCAACTTTAGAGAGGATTGACCTTGGATTTTAGGAGTTGTAGTTCATCTGCAGCCAGAGAGCACCGAGAAGACAACCAATCGTGAATCTAAATAAAACCTGGCATGCAGACCCAACATGGGCAACTTTGAATACTGGTGTGGTTTGACATGACCTTGGATGTTGGGAGTTGTAGTTCACCCACATCTAGTGGGCACCATAAAGACAACCAACCATGTATCTGGACCAAACCTGGCATGCAGACCAGTCCCGTAGCCAGGATTTCGTTTGGGGGGGGGGCTGAATTTTTTTCAGGGGGGGTTCGGGGGGGCTGAGAGTTTCGGGGGGGGGGCTGAGTCTGAGTGAAAGAGGGGCTAGCCTAGCAAACCTTTTGTATCGTTACCCCAATACCCCCATGCATATGGGATATATTGAGTATGGTGATCAGATCATGATATGAATAAACATAACAGTTTAAATAATGCACCAGTAAGGCCTTCTCGCAGACCACCATGAGAATTTGGGGGGGGGGGGGCTGAAGCCCCCTCAAGCCCCCCCCCCCCCCCCGCTACATGCCTGATGCAGACCCAACATGACCAACCTTCAATACTGGCATGGTGTGAATTGACCTTGGATGTTGGGAGTTGTAGTTCGCCCACGTCTAGAAGATAATCAACCATGAATCTGGACCAAACTTGGCACGGAGACACAACATGGCAAACCTTGAATACTTGGTGGGGAACTGACCTTGGGTGTTGGGAGTTATAGTTCACCTAACTCCTTCGATTGGGAACATTCATACAGAGAAAGGAAAAGGAGCTAACCTGTGCATCTCCGGTGACCTACGGGAGTATTTCGTATAACGGGCATGAGCCAACTTTGAATATTTGGTGGGGTTTGGAGGAAATTGACCTTGGATGTTGAAAGCTGTAGTTTACCTATATCCAGAGAGCCCAGTGAACACAACCCAAACTCCAACTCCCACAATTCCTAACAGCCGGTAGGAGGGAGGGAGGGCCGAAGTTGGCCTATGCCTGTCCTCGAATGTCCTATGATGGAGCGTAGTTCAAGCTCTCTTCCCAAGGTCCAGGTCTGACTGAAACCGGCGGGCATTAGAACCCCGCGGAAGGAGGAGGGGGGATAGGTGGGGTGGCGGTTAACCCTTTCCTTCCCTGGCCGGCTTCAGAGCGAGAAGGAGGACGGGCGGACCCTCGTGTGCTGCTCCTGCTCCTGGCTGCCTCGGCGGGGCTGCCTCTGAGCCCTTCCTCCGGGGCTGGGATGCTGCGGGCGCTGCCTTGCTCTTCTTCTTCTTCTTCTTCCTCTTCCTCCTCCTGGTCCTCCTCGTCCTCCTCCTGCTGCTGGGTCCATCCTCGGGTCGGGACACCCCCCGGAGCGGGTCCATGGAGCAGGACTCGGTCCACGCGCGCCACAACAACGCCTCCTCTTCCTCCTCGCCCCAGGGCTGCGGCTTGGGCTACGGGCCCCTCGTCTACTACAGCCTGCTCCTCTGCCTGGGGCTGCCAGGTGGGTCCCAGACCCACACCCCAGGCTCACCACCCATTTCACTCCATTTGCCCTTTCATTCCCTTGGCCAGCCTTTGGAGCCCTAGCCATTCACGTTGGGTCCAACCATTATTATTATTACTACTACTACTATAATTGCTATTGTTATTGCTATTACTATCATTACTATCATTATTACACTTACCATCATTACTATGATTATTACAACTATTACTATGATCAGCATTACTATTATCATTATTACTATTACCATCACTATTATTGCTACTTTTATCATCATTACTGTTATAATTATTATTACTACTACCACTATTACTGTTATCGTCATTACTATTGTTGCTACTATCATCATCATCATCATCATCATTATTATTACTATTATTATTACTACTGCTATTACTCTTACGATCATTACTATTATTGCTATCATCATCATTACTATTATTATTACTACTGCTATTAAAGTTACCGTCATTACTATTCTTTGTATTATTATCATCATCATTATTGCTATTATTACTACTGCTATTACTCTTACTGCCATTACTATTATTGCTATTATTATCAACATCATTATTACTATTGCTACTGCTGTTACTCTTACCATCATTACTATTATTGCTACTATTATCATAATCATCATTATTACTATTACTACGGCTATTACTCTTACCATCATTACCATTATTGCTATCATCATCATCATCACTATTATTACTATTACTACTATTAATATTGTCCTACTATATTGTATATTGTACCAGTGTATATTGTACTACTATTATCATTATTACCATTATTGCTAGTTCTATTATTATCATTACTATTATCATTATTACTATTAATAATAATAACAATAATCAGTTTTATTTATATCCCACCCCCTCTCTCATGGTTATTACTATGATTATCACTATTATGACTATTATTATAATTACTATTATTACTAATATTATCACTATTATACCATAATGATTACTACTGCTACTATATTACTATTATTATTACTACTATTATCACTGTAATAATAATTATTACTACTACGACTACTCAGTTAACTGGGACTCCCAAGCAACTGCAAAGACAAAAAAATACTTTTGAAACAATCTGTTCTTGTAATTGGCAAAATAGCAGGGATATGTCACATTAAGTTTATTGGAATGAGCCTCTAATCACTGCATTTCAATCAGTACAGAATGTATGGGATGGGAAATGGTGGGATATAAAACTCACTATGCCTGTTTTTAATCGTAACTCTCAAGCAACTAGAAATGGTATTGATCTGGCACCTGTGGGTGCCGGTTCACTGACAGTTGACTGAATGTAGCATGATGGACAAGCGGATGATGCCCAGAGCCAGGCTGGCACACAACCCGGCTCCCCTTATTCCAAGATAAGGGGCCTGACCTTCCAAATAGTTTCCTGGGCTCAATCCAGATCCTCTTGGAAGTGCTTTGACTGTGTGTATCTGCATGGTGGAATGGGGTTGGACTAGATGGCCCCAGGGATCTCCTCCAGCTCTGTGATAGTATCATTCATTGTATGTAGCCAACATGAAACAGGAACTTGAGAGTGGAGAATGGAGAGAAAACATTACAAACAAAGGCAGGGGAAGCCAGGAACTCCCAGAAGTTGGAGTTGATGGAGTCTTGTGAGGAAGTCCTCCACCCAGAGCCTTTCAGAGCGAAAACTCAGACAGTCCAATTGCCATTTACTAGCAGTGCACAGATCTTAGAAAAGGGCTTGAAGGGAACAGAATCACCTTTATTGTTAGTTTTCCAGAAAATGTAGTTTATACTAGACTGCCTCTGAAACCAGAGGGTCCTTATAGTCTCTATTATTGTTGTTGTTATTATTATTAATAATAATAATACCATGCTTTATCCCTCTCGCAGGAGACTCAAAGCAACTTAACATTAGAAGGATCAGCATACTTTACACACATTCTCACCTTGACATTGCATATCTACCTCAGTCCGTTGTTGTGATATATTATATCTTGCTTTTAATGTATTGTGTTTTAATTGGTTTGACTCCTTGTGTTATATTATGTTTATTGACTTTATCCTTGATTAATTTCAGTTGCTTGTACGTTATATTTAGTTTAGTTTATTTCATATTTCATCATGATTGTGGTTTCTTTCTTTCTTTCCCCTTCTTTTCTCTCTCCCTTCCTTCCTTCCTCCCTTTTGTCTTTCCTTCCTTCTCTCTTTCCTCCCTCCCTTAACTCTTTCCATTCCCTTCCACCCTTCCTTCCATCCTTCTTCCCTTCCTTCCTTCTCTTTTTCCTTCCTCCTTTCCTCCTGAGGGATGTTTAGCTGGGAGAAGAGAAGGTAGAGAGGGAACATGGGAACCATGTTCCAAGATTTAAAAAGATGTTCCATTGAGGAGGAGGGAGAAAACTGCCTTTCTGCTGCTCTAGAGACCAGGGCACAAGGGAGCAATGGTTTCAAATGGCAGGGAAAGAGATTTGACTGAAAAGATTAGGAAGAACTTCCTGAGAGTAAGAGCTGATGGAGAGTGGCATAGGCTGACTGGGTGTGTGGTGAAGTCTCCTTCTCAGGAGGCTTTTCCACAGAGGCTGTCTGTCAGGAGTGCTTTGATTGTGCCTTCTTGAATGGCAGGGGGTTGGACTGGATGGCTTTTGGGGGTCTCTTCCAGCTCTAGGATTCTACATCAGGAATAGGCAATACAGGGTCTAATGGATACACTTGTTCTTTCCCATCCACCATCTCATCCTGACAAAAGCTAACCCCTTTGGGATCCAAATGTTTCCTGTCTTTCCTTCACTTTCTGCCTCCAAAAGAGAAGATGAAGGGGAGGAAAGGACAGAGAGGGGACTTGGGGAGAACCCCCTCTCTCCCTGTCCACCCACCCCACTCTCTCTGGCCTGCCATGCAGCCCCCAGGTTAGAAAGTTTGCCCACGCCTGTATTAAACCCAGACTAGCCCTAGAAACGCCTGTGATGCCTTTGGCAACATGTGAACTATCCGTGGTGCTGACACAGCAGGCGCACTACACACAATGCTCCCTGGCTCAGAGCTGAAAACGAGCACTATGGCCAGCAAGGCAGCCTCAGTGCGCGCCCTCAAAGAAGGTGGAAAAGAGCAGTTGCATTGTTTTATTAATGCCGGGTTTTTTTCAACATTTTTTCTTTCTTATCGTTGCTTCTTAACACATTTTCATTGCATTAGTTACATTTCTTTTAGTTAGGGTCAGATATTCATAAACCTTTTGCACAAACCTTTGTGAAATTTATTATTAATATTTACACTTATTTTCTTCTGGTGCAAGTACATCTAGGGCATTTTGTACCCAACATTCCTAGGTATTCTTCATTTCTTATGTTTCCATCTTAATCTTTGACATATCCTTTATCTTATTAAAGTTTACTGCTAGATCTTTAAGCAAACAATAATAAAAAGAAATAAAAATACAATAAAAGTCCCATGTTATTTCCCCCATCACTGACTCCCCAACCACATTTTCCACTATATTGTTATCTTTAACCATGTTCACAATTCTCTTAATTTCTTTATAATATTTCTATTGGCTTTATCTATTTTATCCATTCTATATATGTTGTCCATCTGTTTTTTATTTCCTTTATTTTCTTCTCTTGTGTGTCCTCCTTCATTACACTTGTCATAATTTGAAATTGATCCTGTTTATATATGTAATTGTTCCAGTTCTCCAACGTACACTTTCTTTCATCCTTTCACCCCCATGCGATTACTGCTTGTCCAGCATGAATCAACAGTTCTTGTTCCTTTCCATTAATTCTCTTGTTTCTTGATATTCCCATTAGTATCCTGTCTAATAGGCATGGGCAATCCATTGTTCTAAATGGCTCTAAAGTACTTACAAAACTAGGGGGTGCTGATGCTTTGCTTCTAAAGTGTTGCTAAAGTTCTGGTGGAGAAAATTTCAGAACTCTAACAAAACTTTCAAAATTTTGTTATAAATGGCAGTTCCTAATTGGTTCTGTCATAAAAATCGCCAATACTGAAATAATAACATTCTGTTTTCCGTTCTTGAGTTGGGAGTACTGCTTTGGGAGACAGTATTCAGGCATTCGGACAACATGGCCAGTCCACTAGAGTTGATAGGGTAGGAGCATCACTTCAGTGCTGGTGGCCCTTGCTTCTTTCAGTACACTGACATTTGTCTGCCTGTCTTCCCAAGAGAGTTGTAGGATTTTTTGAAGGCAAAGCTGATGGAATCATTCCAGGAGTTGAGTGTGATGTCTGTAGACAGTCCACGTTTTGCAGGCATATAACAGGGTTGGGAGGACAATAGCTTTATAAACAAGCACCTTGGTATCCCTACAGATGTCCCAATCCTCAAACACTCTCTGCTTCATTTGGAAAAATGCCACACTCGCAGAGCTCAGGTGGTGTTGTATTTCAGTGTCAATGTTGACTTTTGTGGAGAGGTGGCTGCCAAGGTAGCAGAAATACTCAACATTTTCTAATGTTACGCCATTAAGCTATATTTCCAGCATTGTAGAGGGATTGGCTGGTGATGGCTGGAAGAGCACTTTGGTTTTCTCAATGTTCAATGAGTGGCCAAGCTTCTCGTATGTTTTCTGCACCATGCTGCTAATTGTAAAATTTTAAATACTGTTCTGTTTTAATGTTTGCATATTTGCACATTTCAAAATGTGTGCTAATGTTTTTCTGTTAAGCTATTTCAAGTCTCCTTTGGGGGAGATAAAGCAGGGAATAATAATAATAATAATAATAATAATAATAATAATAATAATAATAATAACAACAACCTGCTTTCCTTGTCAACAAAATATTGTGACATTTCCAAAATTCCCTGCAATCCAGATTTTAGCAGGAATGCCTTACTCCTCTCTGACGTTGCCGTGTTTTTTTCCTTGTTTTGGGAATCTCAGTGAGAAGGTCTTTGAAAGCCTTCTCCTGTTTTCTAACTTTAAAAAAAAACGATTTCACACTGAGTTATGGAAGTTTTTATCTTTCTTTCTTGTTTCT